ATTCTTTTTATCTATAAGGATATATTTACAGATAGGTCAGGTAAAAATTTTATCAAAATTAGTTTAATACTTTAATTTTTAAATGAAAATAACCGATTTTGCCGCAGCAATCGTAATTGAAGTTGGTTTTTCTTTTTTTTTTTGTGAACCGAAATCTACTTTTTATATTTTTACAAGTTCCTTAGGTATTCAGTATTTAAAACTCGTTTAATCCGAATTACAAGACAGAACTATCAAATCGCAAATCATATTATCATCCTATTTACATACAAAGGCTTGTATTTTTTTAATTCGTATAATAAGATTCATATTTTTCGAATTAATTTATGTCTAGTAATAGTAATGTATGTGTAATTAGTGTATGTAAGTAATGTATGTGTAGTTAATGTCTCAAAAGGAAATTTATTTACATGAGATGTGTATAATATAGATATTAAATCAAAGATTAGGTGGCAGGAATTGTTACTAATGGATAGGTTAGTTTAACCCCACTGTTAGTGATATACAGGGTATACAAGTCGACCTACCTGCGGTCCCCCTTAGAAACTTGATTTCTAATCAATTAGTTGCAATGTTTTTTCCATTATTAAAAAAAAATCCTAATTAAGGATCCTGATTAAGGCATTAAGTAATTTTTCGTAATGATTTATGCAAGTTATATAATATAGTTAGTTATTATGCCATACTCATTGTCTGCGCTGATCGGTCAACTACCGGACGGATTTTACAACCTTGGCATATTATACCGAGCCCAAACAAGTTATATCCGGAAAAAAACTCAAATGTAGTTAGATGCAGCAGCCTGTAATTTTGTCTATGCAATAAAATGAATCATTTTGTTAATTAATTATAAAACAAAACATTATGTTTCTGTGAAATAGAAAAACATAATTTGTATTTACCACAATATTTCTTTTTTATTTTAGATACTATTTATAACTAAATTCTTGTTTAACACGAAAATATTATTGTTATTTTATACAAAAAGTATTTTTTTTAATAAAATATAGTTTAATTAATGTATTTTGTACTTACTAAAGCCGCTTAGGAATACTAAAATGACTAATCGAGTTTGCTTTAATGTATTAGGTACTGGACCGTCTTTACAAAAGTTTTTCAAAGTGTTTACATTCTTGAAGGAGCCCTATGTTCATCATTGGACAGATAACGACTGATGCGATGATGATGATGAAGTTATGCTAATGACGTAACATTTACAAAACAAAATTGCACTTTTTAAAAATTGTTTAAAAATTTTCTTAAACGACGTTCATTATCTAGAAACGAGCAGAACCTATCATTTAACAGTATTTAAGAACCAACATAAAATAAAAACTAAGAACTACGCGAAAAAGAACTAGTATTTTCCATCGGCGAACGAAGTCGGAAACGGCAAAAAAAATCACTTGAAATTATTCCAGTTAACTCTCCGTGAAATCTGGCCATTAATCTCACAACTGCCTCCCATTTTCGTGAGAAATAAAGAGGATGCATTAAGAAAAATATGGGCACACAGCACTATTAGACGAATTTGTATTCCAAATTATAAATCTAGTACATTTTCGCTGTTTATAATTCTATGTTTTGAAAGATTATATTATTATTTCTATTATAAAATAATAGTGTATAAGTAATAGCAATAAATAGTATAAAATTACATCATTTCATCTTAGTCATTATCCGTCCACTGCTTTACATAGGCCTCCCCCATAGTCTGTCGGAACATAAGGAACGGTTCTAAGCCACCTGCATAGTATAAAATATATATACAATAATATTTATTTTTATAAAAAATAACTCTTGCCCGCATTAACTTTCTACGCATGGATTTTTTAAGTAGGAATACTAATGACTCTCATTGACCACTTGTTAATGACATATTAAGATAAAGCATACATCAGTTTATAAATGAAACGTTTAGAAATCAAATTGTGAAAACCACATCCAATTTGATACAGTAGCTATTGTATGATGTGCGAATTACGAATAGATATAGCCAAATTGAGAACCTCTTTCTATTTGAAGTCCCTTGAAAAAGATTAAAAAATCTACTATATTTTCAAAGTCGGTAAAGACTTTATAGTAATACAAGATTTCACATTATCACGTCGTGTCATAGCTCCGTAATCGCCTCATTGTGAATGTTTGAGACTAATATAATAATACAGAATACTTCTTTGTGCAACTTTTTTATTACGGCGTTCTCTGGAACATAATGCGACTGAATACATACATACATAATACAGTATTGCGAAATTTCTTGTAATTTTCGAAGGAATTATCATTAAGGTCGTATTATACATTATGCCATTCTCATATAGTGAATACATACTACATACATGTACTTTGTAATCATGCCATTACGGGCGAGAATAATAATAATATGCACAAATATATCTGTACTATAATAAAGAGGAAAGATTTGTTTGTTTGTTTATAATGGATAGACTTAAAAACTACTCGACCGATTTAAAAAATCTTTTACATATCATCATCATTATATCAGACTTCAACCGTCCACTGATGAAAACAAGCATCTCCTTGGGAGGTTTTGCCAGTACTTGCCACGCTTGGCAGGCGGATTGGCAACCGCAGTTAGGCTTTAGAGATGTTTTAAGAGGGATGCTCCCCATCCCTTGCCGTCCCTTAGTCAGCTCTTACAACACCCACGGGAAAGGAAGGAGTGGCCTATTCTATGTGGGGACCACATGACCATATATAGCCATAATAAGCGATATAATCGACAAGTAATATATGCTATATATTATTTTCGAAAATTCTATCTACCCGTGTGAAATTAGGCCGGACCGCTAGTCGTTAAAGAACTATTAAGAAACAAACCCGGTATTTCTCTGATGTTGCGGGTGGGTGTCCATGGGCGGCGGTAATCACTTACCATCAGATGAGTCACATGTGCGTTTGGCTGCGTGTGTGTCGTCATCAGCTAGCAAAGTAAGACTGGCTCCATAAGTTTATTTTTATTTTTTTTTATGGGTGAAAATGGTATGGTAACCGCGCCTGCGCTAACGGGATACGCTGGCGGAGCACCAGTGAAGGGTGATAGATGAGAATGAAAACAGGCCAGTTAGCCCATCATGATGAATTCATCAGGAATTAACCAGGGAGAACCGCGAAGAGGTCGCAATGGAATAGCAATGGAATTCTCAGTCTCTATTACTAACAATCCCTTTCCCCCCTGGCTCCATAAGTTACCAGCAAGACGAATTGCTTTAAATACATTGTCTTCAAATTTTGAAATTCAACAATAAAATTAACAATAATGCTTTCTAGGGGGAGCCGAATGCAGTTCGACCTGATCCTAACAATACACCCTGTATTGCTAGCAATGGGACATTTAGACTCAATTACTAAGAATTCCTTTCCCCACAAACATTAAGACATATTGGACGAAGATGCAGTCTAGTTTGCAGAACGCTCAACAGATTTAGATTCGTCGTTCATTCGCGGTTGAACGGTTCAACATATAATGGTACACCGGCCTTTGCTAATGGTGATCTATGGCGGGACACCAACGAAGGATGAAATTAGATAATTGGCTTATCACGCCGAATTCACAAGGAATTAACAGCGATGGTTTTCTGAAGAGACCTATCAAAGTTTATTGCTAATATACTCCCTCCATGATACAATGATAGATGTTTTGTATAGATGTCCCAGGTTTAGACATAGGTAACGCAGGCGGGAATACCCTTCCATTATCAGCCATTAAAATAAATTGGGCATTTAGTAATACGTTATTTCAAGTACCCTATATAAACAGTTTTTAACAAATGAATAAACAGTTGGCACTAATCAGCTCAGTATGTATGCGCGAGTGATCAAAGCTCTGATTAACGCCGACCCGGTAACTCACAAAGTCAACTAGCTTTTGTGACCGCTTAACGTTTTCACACACAAAGCGTTTTGTTTCCGACACTATTTTATTATAAAATACAACCATAGATAAAATAATATTTCTTTTTTTCTATGTCACAATTTTAAAAAGTATTAAGATATTTTCAGGGTCGACAACGCGCCTATGACGCCTCTAGTGCTGCAGGTGCCTATGTTATGCTGTTATGCTACCATAACCGTCTCCATACTATATACTATAGTCGAACTAAACTAAAATAATTTTAAATTAATTTAATTACACTTTTTGCATCTTGATCTAGAAAATATAAATTGATACAAATCACTTTGTATCAATTTATATTTTGTGTGCAAATTTATACATCAGACTGATTCTCCGATAATAAAAAAAATACATTTAACAAATCAAATGAATCCCAGTGACTGTGGTAAGTTCGCTCTGTACCACATTTGTTTGATTAATAACTTTGACTATCCTATCGGGGATTATGGTTGTGAGCATTTAACGATTTCTCATTTTTTATATTCTCCAAAATGTGTAATATAATAAATAAGTGACTAATTTATAAATCCTATTAATATTATAAATGCGAAAGTTTGTAACGATGGATGGTTGTTTGTTACTGTTTCATGCAAAAACTACTGAACGGATTTGAATGAAATTTGGTACAAAGGTATGTTATATCCTAATTTAGCACATAGACTACTTAATATACTGATTTAGGTGGGTGAAGCCGCCGAATATGGCTAGTACTGAATGCGATCGCAGTTTAATAAAAAACATCATCAGTTGTCCACTGCTGAACATAGATATCCCTCATAGACTGTCATCCCTCATAGAGATCACTCCATCTAGAGTCTAAAGGGAGGTCGTCCTACACAGCGTTTGTAGACAAAAAAATGTCATTGTTATATTTAAAATCGTGTAGTAACAAAATCTGTAATAAAATAAACAGGTATCGTCACATTTACACAAACAAGAATATGTTTTATACATGTATACATAACATGTATAATGTATGATGTATCTCTAGTGGAAACACAATGTTATATAACAATCTCCGAGTGGTCTCACAACGGGCTTCACCCCTCCCACCCACCACACCACACCGGCAGTTTGCGTTTATATTCAGAGAAGAGAGGACGTTTTTATTTTTTGCACATTTTTAAACAATGGAGGCTATGGAGTGGAGTAAACGGAACACTATTTTGCTGATTGAATATTTCAAGGAAAAACGAGAATTATGGGATTCAAATTGCGAAGATTACAAGGACCGCGTCAAAAAACAGGACGCGTGGATAGATTTGGCAAAAAAATTTAATACAGACAGAAATATTGTTGAGAGAAAAGTGCGAAATTTGATTGGACAATTTAAAAGAGAATTGAGAAAATCAACACCAGGAAAAGAAGTGAACGAAATCCAATCAAAATGGTTCGGGTTTCGATTGCTGACGTTTTTGAAGGATAGACATAAAGATTGTTCAATGAATAAATCGGATATTCCGGAGGTAAGATATTATATCATAAATTTTGTTGATTATACATATACGTCTTTTATTTGATTCTATATGTCTGATACCGTACATGTTATTGTAAATTTGAACAGCAGAAGTACAACTAAATATAATAATATATTATATGTAATTCAATACGATATTATAGATGTGAAACAAGATCCATATTATTATATACATGTCAGGCTTCTTAATTTAAAATTATGTTGTCTATGATGGACAGTATTATACTTTCAATACATGTATTGATACTTGTATAAAACAACAGATATCTCCACGAAAATACATATTGAAAATACAATTTTCATATACAAAAACTTTGTCGAGGGGCAAGAGGAGGTGCAAATCTGTATTCGATTGTACAATTGTTTCTATTGATTCAGATAGATAGAAAATATAACATTGCATATATATGTTTATATAAAAATTTGTAATTGATCATAAAGAATGTAGATTTTACTTGGAAACAATGTTCAATTATCAATATATTTCTAATGTAATTCATATAAAAGAATTAAACTTTTATTATTTCCTCGTAAATTTTAAAATATTAATCAAAGGTCTCATTAACTACAAAAATACTCGGTTGCTGATGAATTCTTTTAAAATAATTTAGGGAATACTTATGTTTGTCTCGATTTTCCAATACCAATTACTTGGCTGTTAGTTATTATATGCCTGACCCAGACAGTAATTTATTATTTTTTAGATAATATATACATCGGGTGGACCTGAAACAGATGCTGAAGAGGAATTTGATGATAAAAACGAAAAAACTCCAAATGAAAAAACCAACGAGTCCTCTCTACGAAAACGACACTCGAAAAATTCAGATTTGCAAAATCGCAATAAAAAAATGTTGAATGAATTCAACGTATTAAATCATATTTCGAGGGACAAACAGAGAAAATTCCACCAAGACGATGAGGATGAATGCAAATTGTATGCGAAGCTGCTCGCCATAAAGCTACGCCATTTTTCCCACATTAAAAGGCAAAAAATAATGTTTGAGATAGACAATTTATTGTTGACTCACAGTATAAACAAACACTGTTCCTCTTCAAACTTCAACAAATCGTATGCAATTCCTTCGCCTCAACAAATATTAATTACTAAATCGTCAATATCAGAATGCGGTTCTTATGATTCTTCACCTTCTTCTCCAATTTAATAAAAAAGTTATCTCTTATCATCATCAACAATTGTTAACTATCCGTTGCTGAACATAGGTTTCCCCTTGGGAGGGTTTTGCCAGTACTTGCCAAGCTTAGCAGACGTATATCTTTTATATATTATAACAATATGTTGCTTTTTAGACCATTACATATCTAGATGGATCATCCAATAGTTTGCCAAATATTTGGCAAATTATTAAATGATGTGTCATATTTGATATAGTACGAAAGTCCAAATAGATATATTAATAAAAATAAATAAAATTACAATTTGTGTTAAAAAAGTTACCAATTATAAGACTAATACAATTGTATATTTTCCAAATAGTGCGCCAATTAAGAAAAAAAGTTAAGCTGTTTTGTGAAAGATTTTCTTCGCACTTTATCTAAATGTTATTGATCCTTTATAGAAAAGTGCTTGACATATTATAAATAATTCTGCTATGATATAGTATGCGTGCGAAATAATGTTAATGTAGTTCTAGACACTTCTGAGAAGTAACATTGGGAAAATATACAAATATTGTCTATCCTTCACGACAATTTATTATTTATTATTCAACACGCCCACAAATTTCATATTCTTAAGTTTTATTTATAAAGGATACGTTCCTTTTAACGCATAGTTTCAATATCCAACCCCTGTGCAAACTGCTTCTTGTTATTAATACAAATTTTAAACTCGTTCATGTTTTTATTTAAAAAGATTTAAATTTACTATAAAATAAAACATTGTTTTAAATAATTTGTTCATGTTATTGTTTAAATTACGTTACATGAATAATTTATATATTGTTGTTTATTAAAGAAATTATATTTAAAATTGTATTTTATTTATATAACTTACATTTATTCACGCCATAAATATGCTAGTCAAATATATGCAGTTAATAATTATGTATTTTTATTTTGCCTAATGATATTTAAAATATGAAAGAAATGTGAGTTTGTGTAGATATTTGAATGAGTGTATGGGTTTTTGATATACGAGATATGTTACTTAATCATATTTTAACGACTTAACAAAATTGACCGAAATTTAGTGCACAGATAGAATGTTTTATATAAAAATAAAAAATATAAAAACACATTTTAACTTGATAATTTGACGTGCCATGTTCAAGAGGCTCAAAAGTCAATATTGTTTTTCGACACACGTTTTTTATTTGTGTAAAATATTTAGTTTACTATTAGAAAGGATGCTAATGGCTTCGATTTCACATTATACAGTTGGACGATCTCTACAACGGATATCGTAAGAATAAAACGTCGAAATTCTCTCAGTGAAACCGGAAAGATAATGCATAATAATAAGTCCGTTGAAGTATATCCAACTATGTACAAGACAATATTGTAATAAAGAGTTTATTGTCCCACAGATACAGATCGTAGTCACGACGTTATCTATTGTTTGAGATTCATTGACAGCTTGGGTCAAACAAGTTCAAGGTGAGTTCTAGGAAAACGATCGACGTACGGACATGTTGATAAATGTTAGGCATCTATCATGTTTTATGTTACATATCAGCTTGAAATTAATTATTTTTAATAATAGATCTTTTTAAGGCGGCTGAATTTATCTCATGAACTTGATATTTTTAACCGACTGAAAAGAAGAGATTCTCAATTCGATTGTATTTTTTTTATGTTTGTTACCTCATAACTTCGTCAGTTATAAACCAATTTGGAAAAAATTCAAAATTCTTTTCTATATATATTATTTATCTACATTGTATAAAGAATACCTAATATATATATATATATATATATATATATATATATATATATATATATATATATATATATATATATATATATGAACTTTATATGAACTTTGTGCCATTCCCATACCATATACAGACTTGTTTAACTTACTCGTATATAAATACAGATTTATTCCAACACGTGACCCAAATAAAAACCTACATTTCTCACACATGGAAAACTTTACCTAACAGACAGATAGGAAGTTGGTAAAATCAATACATAGTTCAGAAGATAAGCAACTTATTTGCGGCTTATCGCTGATAACAATATATTTACATAAACCAATTCCGCTGGACAGATATCGGGAGGCGAACTTTTGTGGCGCAGTCACATTTTGGGATCGGCCTTTTTTATATTCTTCACTGCCAGTTTTGCTAACAATTGGATTTTTGTAGTTATCTTATTGAGGAATCCCTTCTGGATACGAATGGATTCTAAGTCTAACCGTCACATTTAGGTACTATCTAAATTTTGTGACTAGTACAATATCTATACAATATCTCTTTGCTTACTGAATTGAAAAAAAATCTATAGTAATAAATGATATCGATTTATTTCTCTTTCAGCGTGTATGCCCCGGCATAGAATAAGCCAGCCCTTTCCCTTGGGTGTCGTAAGAGGCGACTAAGGAAGGGTGAAGGATGGACAGCAGCGTCCCTCTTAAAACATCTCTAAAAGCCTAATTGCGGTTGCCAACCCGCCTGCTAAGCGTGGCAAGCACTGACAACTGCAGTTAGGCTTTGGTAATTGACAACATCCCTCGACCATTAAGTTCCTGCAACAAGTAACAAGCTGCCGGCCCACCTGATGGAAACCGTCGTAACGAAAACGTATGGAAAACGTGGTAAAGGTGAAAAAGGTGGTCGCCTATAGACATGAGCAGTACCATAAACATAACAGAGTATACTGTTTCGCCCATGATAAACCAATGCGTTGACATTTCTAAGAACTCAGGTGTTATTGCTCTGAACCCTGTAAATTCACTGCCATATGCTAGCCTTCAAATCGAAACACATCCATGCAAACACAACTTCTTCAAGGTAGAAACACGAATAGGACTGAGGTGCCCAAGCAAACGACGTTTGTACAAAGTCTTCCTCTGGAGAAATAATAAACGCATATATCAACATGCATTTAATAGAAAGACAAAAAATATTAAATAAAAAACATAAATGACATTGACATTGCTCCTTTCCATTTTGGGTTTAATGAAAGAGAACTATTTTAGTAGTAAGCTCGCCTTTACACATATGCTTACTTTTGTCATATTTTTAAGTATTACTAGTGTGCACAATATATTTTTTTTATACCACAAATGTGGCTAACAAGCATACAGTCCGTTTGATTGTAAACGGGCACTGTAACCTATGGACGCCTGCAACAGTAGGGGTATAGTATGTAGGGGGGTAGTTTATACCTTTTATATATATTTATATACCTTTTTATACCTTTATATACCCTTTTTTACCCATACCGTATTCTCTAGGGAAAATCTCGACAGGGAGTTCATTCTACAGCCTGAACCTTCGTGGGAGAAAATACCTCTAAAACCACACTGTACGTGACCATTTAGGTTCAAGCGTTTGAGGATGAATTCCTAATAAATAATAATTACCCAATAATAAAAAAAAATTACACAGAGTTAGCAACTCTGTGGTTAATTTTTCAAAGCTGTCTATCGTCAAGTATACAAACGAACTAACAGATACAGGGAGTTATTTTTTGGATCCGGCTACCGTCGTCCATGAATACTTGCAACGCAAGGACAGTCGCCAGTGCGTTCTAAGCTTTTAAAATGTGCTATTAAAATTATACACAAAATCATATTTTATAGAAAAATTGTCACAATTACAAATTTTATTTACTACATTAAAATTCTGTATTAACCATCTAAAGAAAGAGTGTTGTAAAAAGCAATTGAATTACAATTGTTGTTTCGCAAAACGTGTGATGCGCCTTACGCAACCACGTGGGTGAACAATGGATTGTGATCGCGGACGGGCCAATGCTGAGAACGAGAATAAAGCGATAAAAGAACGATTTTTATATTTATAGTTATATTAATAAAATTTGTATGCAATTACAGCCATTTTAATAGAAAACTTACATATTGGTCTAAAATTTCGATATCTAATTTTACTGGAAGTACTTTTATGCTCTTTTTCTTACAAAAAGTCAATTCTCTCATAACAACTTCAATATCACTTCACATCAATAAATACACTTCAATAGCTAAAATAGGTTTATAGGAAGGTTTCAGTTTCTTTGAATAAGGATGTTAATATTTCACTACTAATTCTTTATAAATAAAATTTTTTGTCTTAAAAAAGTATTAGAAAAGGTAAAGAAATATTTTTCAATCCAATTGTTTTCATTTAAATAATTAGTAATGTTAAATTAATAAGTATTATTTCAAGGAAGCATTCCTCAGTAAAACTGAAAATATTAGTACAGCTGTGAAATCAGTATAATCTTAATATTTTTCGTTCTGTTTCGACCTATATATTTTTGAGGAAAATATTCAATGTCCCTACTAAAATACTATTTAAAACAAATGCTAATGGTTTTGATTTTATCTAATATAATAATAATTCAATAAGCTTGAATTTTATTCAAGCTTATCGACAAAATGCTCAAATAAATTCTCGATTCTCATAATAATGTCACACGAATGATTAATGAAGTCAGTTTTTGAGTAGCTTTCTTTTTGTGATATTGGCTTGTAAGCTTTATCATTCGTTCACATAAATTAAAATTGAGAAACGAACCGACTTTACAAACACGGATATGAATAGAATGAGATTTGGCTATACCTTTAAGTATATTTGATGAGATAGAAGTAAGAAAGTTTTTGTATCAGCCGTGAACTGCTGAACATAATCTCCCCAATAAGGGGAGATCTTCCAGTACTTGCCACGCTTGGCGGGCAGGTTGGCAACCGCAGTTTGGCTTTTGGCGATGTTTTAAAAGGAATGCTGCTGCCCATCCCTTCACCATAATCTCTCTTAGTGGGCTCTTACGACATCTACGCAAACCAAAGGAATGGCCTATTCTATGCCAAGACTTACACGGCTAAGGATCAAGAAAGTAAATACTATTAATATTGAACCTATGTCAAAAGTTTTATGTTTTTTTTTATTATTTCTGTTTTTTTTTATACAACTTAGAATGGCAAACAAGCTGACGGCCCATCTGATGGAAAGTGGTAACAGTCGCCTATAGATATGAGCAGTACCATAGACATAACAGAGTATACTGTTTCGCCCATGATACCTCCCATGCATTGCCATTCCTGAGGACTCAGAAGTTATTCCTCTGTACCCTGTAAATTCACGCCGTATCCCACCCTTCAAACCGAAACACAGCCATGTAAACACAACTGCTTCACGATAGAAACACGAATGTATAGTAGCCCCATCATACCCTAACTTTAATGACTTATTTCACATACTAAAATACAGGGAATCGTTGATATAAAATTACAATAGTTAAAGATTTTGCCGTTTCGGAATGTGGATCTGAGAGTAAATTTAAAAATAGTCCAATATCTTTTCTGTTTAGACTATATTTATGTATCGAGGCTTCTCTTTCTGTTTTGTATTTTTTACATTCGCATATCATATGTTAAACGAAACAAATATCAAAGTTACATGTTACTGAACCCAGTAGTCATTACTGTGTATCGATTATTCAATACATTCATCATCTGCTCATAGATGTATCAATTTATATTATATTTATTAAAAAAAAAATACGATATTAATTGATGGGTGTGAAAAAGTCAACTATAATTACGGTCTACGCAAACCAGAGGGAGACTTTGTACAAAAGTCGATTGCTTGGGTACCTCTGTCCCATTCGTGTTTCAACCGTGAAGCAATTATGTGTGCATGGCTGTGTTTCGGTTTGAAGGGTGGGATATGGCGTGAATTTACAGGGTACAGAGGAATAACACCTGAGTCCTCAGGAATGGCAACGCATGGGAGGTAACATGGGCGAAACAGTATACTCTGTTATGTCCATGGTACTGCTCATGTTTATAGGCGACGG